ATAAGAGGTTTGTGTCGTGGTCTCCAGCAAGTACGGCTTTCTGGAAGCTTGTGCTCGTCTGGAGTTAGTTATGAGTTCAAGCTGTAAGGCATGTGGGGATGGCGCTTTTCTGAACTTGTCCCAGGTTTCGTTACAACACATCGAGTGTATACCGTGTGGATCATTTATGGTCTGTTCGCAACCCAGCTGTCGCTGCTTAGGTGGAACGTTTAAGACTCGTTTACGGTTGCCCGTACTTGTTAAACAAATAAATAATTAATTAAATGGTATATTCTCAGTAAAACGAGACACACCTTGTGGTCTTTGCTTTTCCAGGCTTGCCAGATTCAAGCCAGGAACGAAGCCTTTTGCTGTCACGGGCCCGGTTTTAGCAAAAGAGGCACATCTGCATTTGATGCTTATTAGTGAGGACAATGCAAGCAGTGTCACTGCAGGAGCAGCCAGCAAATGCAGACCATTAGGTAAGGAGCTGCGCAAGTGTAAATGGTCAGTAACTGGTAATTCAGCGTCAAGCAAAACGATAGCGCTTTTTCTACATGATTTAGGAGTCCTTTTAGAGGGATTTATCAGTCAACTGCCCGGCTTGTAATCGTATATTTGCTAATGAGTTGGCAGCTACGTGACGTTGAGGCCTGTAAGGGGTTTATTGCCGTTGGCTGTGGAGCAAGGTCCACGTCGACGCAATGCAAACTATCGGATTGGGTGGCAGTACCCGCAGTAAGGTGTGCTAACTATGCCTTTCGTATCTTGGAAGCTTTACCGGGTAGCGCAACTATCCGTTGCACAGGTGTTTCATAAGGCTTCATTAGAATGTGTCCGGCGTTGAGATATAGCCTGACTTCATGCTTCTTTTTGAGAAAATGATTGGCAAGCCTCTGCTTCCAGAATACAAAACAATTGGGTAAGATCGATTCCTATTCCGCTTTTGTCGGCTTATACACATTAAACTTGTTAATAGGAAGGTTCCAACTTTTTGTTAATAGACGCTTTAGCTTATCCAAGTGGGATCTGTCAGGCACATTAAATACTGTTACTTCATAAGCACGATGGGCACGGTAGTTGCTCTATGCTGAGATAGTGGATAGCAATTCGCCGACCGCGAGCAATTTAGCGAGGACTTTAGTACTCTGAATAGCTGACAGACATGCGAGGGGGAGATTTTCGCTACTGCTTCGTTGCTAAATGCCAATGCTTTGTTTATCGTCCATAGTTCGTCTTCTAAAGCGCCCACCGTGGCGGATGCTTCTGTCATTGCAGCTGTCAGTATTATATTGTAGTGCCTCAATTCTACTGGGAGAACTGAATTAGTCCCGTTACTGTCTCTTCCGATTTGTTTTGTAACAGAGGCCATTAAGTTTAGTGCTGCATTCTTTTGTGTACCGCACCAGTATTATCTGGGGTAAAAATAGGATCTTAGTGGTTCAAGGCTAATGTCATGAACACTCCGCCACTGAGATCCACGAGAAAGGCTGGGTAAAACAGAAGCGAATAAAAAGCTGGAATTGGTATATCCGCTGTATGGTTGGGTTGCTACCAGCGAAGCAATTAAAAATCGGCTCACTTAAGTTGAACCTCGGCCATTTAGAGCACAAGGACCGCGAGTAAAATGGAAATATTTTGGTGTTGCTCATCTCAACACTGGCAACCCATGACGCCGGTTTTGTCCCGGTTTGGATACATCAGGCAGAAATAACCCAGGCTAAGGTGAATCCACAGTCTGGTAGTTCACGGCAGACGCCATAGAAACCAAGAATCCAAGGTCTGCGAGCAACGCTTGATACCACCGAAAAAATGCAAAGTAGGAGTTGGAGGATCGACTGAGTTGTTGGGTTGCAACAAGCAACCTCTTGTGAGATCTCGATTTACTTGAGGTGGACGTTAGTCATTTCAAGCACAAAAACCTAGGTAAAATAAACATATTTTAGTGTTGCCCATCCCAACACAGTCACTTACTACCGCGGTTTCGACCTGCTTTGGATTCATCAGGTAGAGATAGTTTCAGCTTATTTGGAAAATTGAGCCTAGTGGTTCACGCCTGCCGCCATAAAACTAGGCCACTAAGCTACATGAAAACAATCGGTAAAGCGGAAACAAATGCGTATTTTGCTTTGAAGGTTGCGCTTTATGGTTGGGTTGCTACAAACGAACTATATTGAGAGCACGGTTAACTTGACGTAAGCTTCGGTCGTGCTGAGCACATAGACCGCATGTACATTGGAAATAGTTTGATGTTGCTCATCCCAGTATTAGCACTATGCGACGACGATATTGCCCTGGTATAACCTGATCAGGAGGAGAAATTCTGGGCTGGGTTAGTAATCAGAGCTTAATGGTTCACGGCGCACATTATATACGCTGTGCACAATCAACGCTTGCTAGAGAGAAAAGGAATTCCAAATAAAACTGGGATAATCCGCTGTATGGTTATGTTGCTACAAGCAACTTCTGTGCAGACTATGGTGCACTTGAGGTGGACTTCGATCATTTAGGTCACAAGGACCCTTTGCTATTGCGCAACTAACGTAGACACCTTACGACCGCGCTTTCTCTCTGCCTTGGGCTCATCAGGAGGAAATAGGCTGGGCTGTGGTAGATGCGAGTGTCAAATGGCTCAAGGCTGACGCCATAAACGCTGTGCCACTGACATCCGCAAGAAACGTTTTGGAAGAGAGGTAAGAACTACAAAGTTAAAATTGAAAAATCTGCTGTTGGATTGCGGTGCTATAAGAAACGTCTATTGAGACCACGGTTCATTTGACCTGGACTTGGGTCGTTCGGATAAAATGGACCCTACATAAACGGAAAATAGTTTGTTGATGCTTGTAAAGTCCAAAAGGAACTTTGATGTATCACCGACCTAGATTGCTTACATGAGGACACGGTATCTCTGTTCCCTACTTATTCTGTCCATTTACATTGCTTTAGTGTGTCCTACAAGCGGTTACCAGATCTTATGTTTATTCCTTTCACTCGATCAAGGACAGCCTTGACGATTTAACGTCATTCAGATTATTAGGTTACTGTGGCACTGACAACTACTCACTCCGCCGCATGCTGTACAGTTTCTGCACAAATGTACTACGATCTCAAAACTTATCCATAAGTCATGTACTGTATTTAAAATGCCTCATAGAACCACAGTTAGAGGATACTTTCTTATATTCTTCTGCCCAGACTGTGCGTTAAGTCTAGCTTTATTTGCTGGTGGTTTCTAGGTTAGTTTTCGTACGATGTACTTAGTTTAGCCTTCATATCGTTGGTACAATGCTCATGCAAACACTAACAATACAAGACCGCGGTATCATTTTTGTCTAACCCAATCGGGCGAAGGTATTATAAATAAATAAATAAATATTTTATTCTCGACTATGCGAGGCACGCTCATGGAGGCATGATCAGATATGTACAACGGTACAAACATTATAATGCAATTGTAACAGTAACGCAGAAAATTGTTCATATATCCATGATTGGAACTGTACAATGTTGAAAATGCGAAACAATAAGTTGGCTGTCATGAGATACGGGACCTCAGCTAATAAGAGATTGAGAAACCCGAATGATCCACTGAAAGGTAATGGAAGAGCCCGCACACAAGGAAGGAAAAGGGCAACGTATGGTAGGATGTAAAACGACAACAGTATATACAGATGTAGAAGTCCCAGTGTAACGATCCTATGTAGAATTGTGACGCTAGTTGACCTGCCAGTGTAAAGTTATGGCCTGTGACTGTATTCGGTGGCGAGTCACATACGCCACGTTGCAGTGTTGTTAAACGGACATTTGTGCCTTTTTGTAGGGAGAACGCTTGCGAGGCGAAAACCCACCACGTCCTGGAACACTGCCACCAATCCATTGAATGGCAAGTTGTAACTGGCTATGTTTCTTGTTAAAAGTGTTTGCTCGGTTATTCGCAGTCAGGTTGCGTCCCATTTTTCCGCTGGTTGATGCAATAACTGGTTGCCTATTGCGTTCCTGGGTCCTGTCCGTTGGTAGGTCGGGTACTAAACATTCTTATTGAATATAATGTGTTGATCCTTCGCAGAACCACATGAAGTCATCTCTGATTATGTATATTTGCCGGGGAGCGAAGAATTCGTGTCCAGCTACCCTCACTGGACATCGGTGGTTGGGTGTAAATAGTTAGAGTGGAAGTGAGGCCATGGTCCAGGTAAGTACTTGTTGGTTATTTCGTCCCATCCCAGACGGAGGCAGTTCCTCAGTTCAATCCCGAAGCTCTCCGATGTTCACGACCTCAGAGAAAAGGGAGAGAGGAACAAGCCGAGAGAAGACCGAAAAGGAACAGTCGATGTACCTAGCGTTTGATCAAAATCCTACATTAAGACATTTATTTGAGACAACTTGTGTACAAGGTGTAACAGATATTACGCTAAAGATGTTTTTAC